CGGAACAGCAGAGTTGTACATCGTTAACCATGTGTGTAAAACTGTAAAAAAAAACAAATAAGTATACGATTATTATAGATTATGTAAAATCAAAATTATTATGTTAAATATACTTTATATTTTACATTTTAAAAAATAGGTAATTATTAAAATAATTATATAGATTACTGAAAAAGTCTTCCTTTTAAATGTAAACTCACAAAATTTTACACATATGGTTTTGTCTCTAACACTTGTTCGAATCGTTTGAATAAATAAAATAAAAAACACAAAACAGATACCTTATTTTGCACAAGTAGCAAATAACAAAAACGTGAGACACTTACCTCACCGTTTCTCCGCCGTTGCCCGATGCCTTCTGGGCCGGCTCCTCTGGGCTCCTCCTCTCAGATTTCCTTGTTGCACTCACACACAACACTCACTCGCGAAAATCATCGATCGCGCGAAATTTCAGGCACTCCCGTACGCGACGTGAAACACCGCACGAAATATTATTAACGAATATCGCGTGACTTTCTATCGTACAAATTACTCAAACCAACAACTTGCACTTTTGACTCGGAAGAACAGAATAATGGATAAATCACTTTTGAATTGACGATATAAAACGCAGCGCGAGCATGGCAAGCATAATCTGCGGTAAACAAGTAGCTATTAGTCCGCAACGAAACGACATTTTACAATTTTCGTCATTCAATCTAATCCTCGAAATAAATTATGCGAACGAAATTTCCAGCGATAAATAGTTGTTAAAAGTTATTAAAGTTGCGAAGAACGACAGAGCGTATTACAGCGCGAAAGCCCAAGTTGGCACAAATTTCTCTCTTTTCCCGATAAATGGAATGGATTACACGAAACCGATAGACAATTAAAAACGCGTTGCGTAAACGAGATGCAACCGCGACAAAGCACCACGGTTTGTATTCATATTTTATAAGTTAGTCTCGCGAAATATCTACGTGTACGTTGATAAAGAGCCGTCGCCTCGACACGCAATTAGTTTCTCATTGCAAATTGTGGAAACTTAATAATTAATCGAGAAACGTTACTTGTTACTGATAAAGGTGTGCAAATCAATAGCGTTTTATCCATACATTCATCGCGATCGAGTCTCGGAAAGCGATAACGCAAAAGTAATAACACGCGCGGAGCGACTCTGGCCACTGCTTGCCGGCTCGACGTTCGGCGAGCGAGTGAGCGCGGCGACCTTCGGTACACGATGGCACGCAAAACATCGTACGTCACCGCGCCGAGTGAAAAACAACGAACGTTGAGAATTCGTTGCCTTTTTTGTTCCGTGACTGTTACTACGCTTCGCGTATCGTTCTGCGGACTTGTTGGTGTTGATTAAATTAACGATTGATTCCGTTCAATTGAGAAAACGTTTCGAAGCTAAAATCGTCACTGCCGCACCCCAGTGAGAAATGATTCGTCGATCGACGTCGGAATGATGGCTGCGGTCAAACTGCCGCTACAAACGCCTCCGAGTATTCCACTTTTCCTTTCTTTCAATAAAGACAGAAGGAGAAGAGAAACGCTTCGAAGCATTTTTAGCGGCAGCCTGACCGCAGCCGATGTTGAATCGACGTCAATTCGACGGTGTCGATGTCGATTCGACGTCGCTTCGACGTCGATCGACGAATCATTTCTCACTGGGACCGGCACTCGGCACAACTGGGCGCGACGCGGCACTCGCGAAACAGGAGACAATTACATCGAAGTAACGCGCGCCACGGCACTCCCGGTGTTAATCGACGCGAGCGGAGACACGGAGACACAAATCGCGCGCAGCGGGTATACGAGCCGCCGCGATGGCGTCGCGCGAAACGGCGGGAACGTTCCAGCGAGCGGCGACTCGCTCGGAGAAACGCGAGAGACTTGACGCGCCTCGCGACCGAACGCGAGCGTTCAACGGACCTCGTTCAACGGCCAAAAGAACCTCGGGCGCGTTTCTGCGCGCGCGAAGAGACGCGAGGTGAAATTGCGGTGTGCTCGGCGTCGCAAGGAACCGGCCGCGTCCAAGATTCCGGGAATTTCTCGCGAGACTCGCGTCCCGGCGGATCGCCGCGGCCGGACGCGTCAGCGTCGAGCAATCCGCGCCGCGATCGCGGAACTTGATCGGCGCTGAACTCACCGTCGTCGTGAAAAGCGTCGGAAAAGGAGACCGGTCCGCTGCGTGTCCGCGATGCTACTCGAACCGACCAACATGGCGTCGTTACCCGGCGTTCTCTGCGCGCGGCACTGCGCGAGTTGAGTCAGCGGCGCGACTTGAATATCACTTGAATATCGTTTCTAGCGAATTCGATTACCTCCAGTCCGCAATCTTGCTTTAAGTAAACTCACTTATTGAAGTCGTGGCACGATCCGGAAAAATAGGCGTACCACGGGCACCCGCGAAGCGGAGACTTTATCGGCAGTGTCAGAAGACGCCTAGCGAAGCAGTTCCAAAAGTGAAAAATGGGCGCGAGGGCGCGCGAAACAGTCTCCTGATACCATCAAGAAAAAGGCCGGCGCGGCCGTTTTTACCAACGCAGTTTAACTTCAATCCCGCTTCAACTTTGTATCCTTTCCTAGTTTTACGCGTTGAGAAAAGACAAGTATAAATTTAAGCCGAGATTAAAGTTAATATCTGCATTGGTAGAAGCGGGCATTAAAGCAAGATTGTGTGGACCAGAGATTACGCGACGCACGTCCCGCACAAACACACACACACACGTCTGACTTCGGCGCGGCTCGCCGCTCGAATGTGCTCGAATGTTCGAGCCGCCGCGCCGCAGCGATCGTCGCTTGTTTGTCTCGAGCCGCCGCGGCCGCTGCGAACGTCACTTGTTTTTGTCTCGAGCCGCCGCGGCCGCTTGCGTTCTTCACTTGTTTTTGTCTCGAGCCGCCGCGGCCGCTGCGGGCTGCGCGCCAAGGACAGAGGACGTTCCGTGCGTCGCACTATCGTTCGAGCCGCCGGCGCGTACGGCCGGAAAAATTGTCCGGCGTTTTTCAACAAGTTTACGGAATGTTCGTGCGTATCGTTGCATAGATATTCGCGCGTATCACTCCGTTGCTCTAAGGATGCGCGCGTTGCTACAAGTCCCAGTGAGAAATAATTCGTCGATCCGCGAGCAAAAGCTACGACCTCTCGTACGATAGACTGCATTTTCGAAATTTATCATGAAACGTCGGACAAGCAGTTCTCTGACGACTACGCCACCGGGCGACGCCGCGAGTGTGTCGATTGCTCGTTAAAGTGCGTTTTTCCCCGAGTAGATTTACGCGAGGTACATACGTCGAAGTGATTTTAAATCGCGCTGTTAACTCAACTCGCGTAGTGTTGTGCGCGCGACAGTGCTGGAAACCAGTGGACACGCAGCGAGCGGATCTCCTGCACCGACCGATGGTCGTCGCGACGCGTCTTACGGCAAGTAAGTTACATTACCAAGTTCAGCAATCGCGCGACATACAAACTATAGACTCGGCGATCCACCGAGACGCGTCCCAGCGAGAAGTGACTTGTCGATCGACAAGTAATTTCTGACGGAATCTCGCGGAAAATCCCCGGCCGGAATCTTTCGCAGCCGAGTCCTCGCACGCAGTGAGAAATGATTCGTCGATCGATGTCGTAAACGATCCCTAGTAGCAACAATATGTATACTGGCGCGACATTGGGAAATTGCTCTTCGTTCTTTATGCAAAGTCGTGAATCCCCCGCCTTGTTTTTGCGCGTGCTATAATCGCGTGGCAGAATTTTGTAATTTCGTAAAGCCAATTTCAAATTGCTCGCGATTAAAAAATTGCAACTTTAAAATACCAATATCTTTTTCGTTAGACTTCCGACCCGAGTGTTTTAAGTATGAAAATGTTCTGCCGTGCAGTCCGCGACTTATCCTGGCATTATTTTGTGCATAAAAGCTAATAAAACGATTTACCAGCGCAAAAAGTATATTCGCACGTGTCGGTGAAAAGGATGGCTTTCCTTATTTAACCAATACGTCGATTTAGCAATATTGGTTTCACATTGTACCAATATTAGACCAGTACTGTTATTACATTATTAATTATTGGCCAATATCGGCCAATGCATTTCTAATATAACCAACATTGGACCAATGTTTAGCCAATGCACTGTGCTACTAAGAAACAATCAATTTTCCACCAAACAGAGAGATTTAACTCCAAGGGTAATAAATTCATTGGTGGAGTCGACAGATAATTCCCATTAATTTAACAAAAAACTCCCGCTATCTCATAATAGGGACTTTCATCCGTTTTCTGAAATGTTCTGAGATTTCGACGATTCCTCATTCTATAATTTCAGACGTAATCTTACAAGATTTGGAAAAGTTTAAGGTATTTTTTTCGGAAATTATAGAATGTTACATAATACATTTTAAGAAAAAAAAGTAGACTTTCTCAGTGCAGTCATTTCTGAAAAGTGTATATCACTTCGTATAGAAATTCTGAAAAAGATTTTCACCCGATCAACGAAGTTAAGCTCTTACATTGAGAGTGATAAAGTTTTTAAATATTTCAACAACTATCCTTACCATTTAGAGATACATATAAAGCTAATTATATTCATGCAAGTAATAAACTTTATTTTTATCATTTTATATAACTTGTGTGTCATATATTAAGAGTGAGAACAAGATCGGCCTCATTTTTTTCGCGTTCGATTTTGCTCACAAAGTAGATACCAAACGAAAGGTGTCAATTTCCCAATGATCGATGCCAACGAAATCGTCCTGCATTGTCTATCAACCTAAGTAAGTTTTAGATGGACTGAGTGATCTTTGGGCACCCGTTGGGAAACCTTTCAGTCGACTCCAACTCGGTTTTGGAATTTTTACACTCTGAGACTGACATATCTGTAATCAGCTTGACAAGACCTGTCGTTTGGTATCTACTTTGTGACCAAAATCGAATGCGAAAAAAATGGGGCCTTTGCCTATGGAGACACTTGTTCTCGCCCTATATATTATTGAATTTATTTACTATAACATAATTAGGTCTTTGGCATAATCCGATTTTTTTATACAATTGTTTTCACATAGACGCTCATTTTGATAACTTGAGACATTCGTACACCTTATTGCACCTAATTTGCATAGAGAGGTCCATCATAAACGATGTAATGTGGGTTTCCTTATCCTTCTGCTTCCCGTTTTCGAATACGATCACGAGAGTCATAGTGGGATCGGTGTTGTGGAAAGAGTACGTACACAGGTCCTGTAGGAACGCCATCAATTTACAATCGGTTCATAAGAGATAATTTCGCAATAAGCGTACCTTCGTGCTCTTGTGGTAAATGACTTTGTCCATAGCGAGAAGCTCGACGTGCCGTTCCTTTATCTTGATTTGGATATTGTCCAAGTGTACCGATGGTTTCTGCGTGAATGTCTGGAAGTAAAATTAATTAATCACGTAGGAAAGCACAAAGTTTTATGCCGTTTGTCTGCAGCTGCTAATACATATGTACTTATATCGATAAGAATTGAAAATAGTTAAGGCCCGGTTTCACCGAACGTCGCTTAACTTTGATCTTAGTTTAATTCGTGTTTGTCTCTTTCTAAAGTAACAGTTGGAAACAGACAAAGAACGAATTAAACTAGGCCTAAGGTTAAGCGACGTTGGTGAAACCGGGCGCAAAACGTAAAAAGAACAAGTGTCCACAGGCAAATGGCCCCTTTTTTTTCGCATTTGATTTTGATCATAAAGTAGATGCCAAACGAAAAGTGTCGTCGAGCTGATCGCAGATGTGCCAGTCTCATAGTGTACCCATTTAACGTTCCAGAGACATCGGGCTCCAAAAATTCCAAAACCAACACACCTTTCCGGACAAAAAGACATTTCTTCTGTCACTGACATGTTCAGAATGGCCAAGAGCCTTTGGTAGATCATTTTAGCTAAAGCGATTCATGTCAGTGACGGAGGAAAAGTCTTTCTGTTTGGAATTTTTGGAGCCCGATATCTCTGGAACGTTAAAAATAGGTACACTCTTCGCCTGACATATCTGCGATCATCTTGACGTGACCTTCCGTTTGGTACCCACTTTGTGACCGAAATCAAATGCGTAAACAAATGGGGCCGATGTTGCTGTCACTCTTTGTACGTACACTAGGACAACAAACGACAACGGGAAAACTCTCGGACGGGTTGCCTCCTCTCGCCGGATGTCTGTATCCCGAGCCTGAATTTTCGGTCTCTCTGGAATCGAAGATTATCAGTACCGCTAGTATGTCGTACTTTCGTTGAAAGCTCTGTATCCTGAAAGAGCGTCAAGTCAGTCATCCGCGTGTTCTGTGCGGGCGGCAAAACAATATCGGCGTCTTACTTGTGATAATAATCCACGCTCTGCTTGCTCATAATACTCCTCATTTCCCCCGGACTAGCTTGCTGGGCTAAAGTAGTATGGAAATACAGAGAACATTTAGCTAATATAGCACCGCGTAGTTTCACCAGCCATTGATACAACGCTGGCTGTTGATTCGCCTTGAGGAACGTCGCACCGAAGCCCAGTTTCCAGGACTAATAAGAAATCACGAATTAGAATACTCGATAAGCCGCCTCGACGCTCTTCTTTATATCTTATTCACCTCCTTGCTCTGCAGAGTTCTCTCCCAAGCTGACATTCGCGTCTGCGCGCCATAGAGGGCCACCAGGGTCGGTAAAAACCTCCAGTTTTGAACTTCCACTTGCGCCTTCATTAATTGCACCAGCGTTTCGCATTCTAATCTGAACAATGCGAATCGTTAGCCTCTCACAAAACGTTAAAGTCCACGGTATTGGTAAAAAAAATTACGAGGGGATACGCACGTTAAGCTCGTCTTAATAGCAGTTAACGCCAGATGAGAACAGGACAACAAATAGCACGTTACTATCCCCTCTATGCACTGCAACAACTCCTGATGCTTCATAACTCTGCTGTTTATACTCATGTTGTACATTTTCTCGTAGCTGTAATGCAATAATCACGAAATGTCACATTAGAAACGGGGGGCTCGAAGCGCTAAGTATACTGACAAATCTATCAGCTGGATTCTTGCCGTGATGAACTGACAGAGCTGATTGGAAACGTTGGCGACCGTCGCGCCGACAGAGTTGGTCCCCTTGGTCATTTCCTCTAGTCGCTTCAAATCGGACTTCAACGATTCGTAGACAGTCCTCAAAGAATTCTGTAAACCAAATGGTCAGCGTGAGCGAAGCTCGAATACGATTGTCGTTGCCGAATACGTACGTCTTTCCTAAGGAAGCCTTTGTTCTTGGTGTTGAGAAAACCTAGATCGGCGTACGAACGCTCCGCTACGGCTATCTGCGGTAAATGCAGCAGGAACATTCCCCACGGGCCCATTTGCATCTGCTTGCACGACTCCCTCTCCCTCTCCTGCATCAAATTCACATTCATTTCCGCCCAGAGATACAAATGTACAATCGCCAGGGTACTTGCGTAGAAAATCCCACTCACAACTGTCTCCTTGGCCTTGTCGGAGCATAACTGCGCGACCTGCGTGAAGAAGGTGCTAAGGAACTCGTCTTCGTGGTCCATCCTCTACTTCTATAGCAGCAAACGCGGGTAAACTTAACGGTGTCAGGCCATGCGGATGGTTTTCTTTTCCAATTCCACCGGGAGCGGTGAAGATTCAAGATACCTTCTGCCTGCCCATAGGGTCGTGCAACGTACAGCACACGAGTCTCTTTCACCTGCCTTCATCCACGCGGGGTGTCAATGGTGTCATACTGACGAGGTTATGTCGCGATGTCGCGTATGTGTCGCGTACATGCGTCGACTCGACTTTGCTACGGAAAGATGTGGGTCGAGTTGGCCTCGTACAGACTTGTACTTTCGTATAACGCAGCTTCATACGAATTATTTAACGATAATAAACTTAAAGTAAGACGATAAAAAGAATTGTTAGACAACTTAGGCTGGCAGATGGTTTATTTATTCATGACGTTTCGACCATGCGGGTTGTGGTCCTTTTCAGGGAATTCAACAATCTACAATTATTTTATAAAAAACAAGCATATCGTTGAACATTCACTGGCGATTCACATTCTAAAGTTGTTAAAGTAAGACCCCTAACTAAAACTAAACATATGAGAAAACGCCAATGTAGGTAGCTTGTAATTTTTATTTAAAAAAATGTGATTTAAGATGGTATTCAACAATATTCTTGATTCATCGCCTATGTAATTGACTGAGCGGCTTTGCACGAATTATTCAACAACATTCTTGATTCATTGCCGATTTAATTAACCGAGCAAAGTCTGACCGATTTATTGACACAGGAATTCAACAATTTAGTGCTACGTTAGGGTAGAAGACCCTGCAATCAGAGACTGGGTTTCTACGATCGTAGAAGAGCGAGATAGCCTCTATGTTTCTCTCCCTCTCACTCGCAGGAATTTGACGAACTCCATGTTAGGGCACACGAAGTTTTAGTTAGTTGAGCCAACTGCTATTAATTCCTAACGAGTTTGTAAAAGGCCCAGGTAATATTTAATACGTCGTATAGTATGTACATAAGGTATATGAAAATTTGTGCTACGTATGCACGCGTACAAAGCTCTTAATGTCGCCGGGAGGATCTACAAGTTCATAACCGCCCTCTTTACAGCCTTCTCCTTGTTCCTTCTGATCTTCTTCTTGTGCGCGACCTTCTTACTGGCGTCTCTGAAGAACTTGACTCCTTCCCGCTCCTCTAAAATGCGTTGCACGTACATCATGCCGTGCAAGTTAAAACCGACGGTGTCCTGAAAGTTGTCGCTTGTTAGTTCATCGGATAATAGCACGTGCGAATGAATATGCGATTGATAGATAAGCTTTCATTACCCTTAAAGCAGTGATCTTTTCCACGGCGAGTTTCTTTACAATTTCCAACGTGGGCAAAAGATTTAGGTTGGCTACTATCGGGCCGTGGTGCGCTTGCACCAAGCTCAGAGCTAATCTGACTAATAGCTCAGTGTGATAATCGCTTCTCAACAAGTCAGGGAGTCTCCGAAGAATATCACAGGCGGCAGAGTACGGCAACAACAGTAACGTCTCCTCCATTTCACTAAAACATACAAGATTCCAGTTACGTTTTCATCAGCATAGGAAACTTCGCTGCGTCCTACCTCGCCCTGACTCGTTTAAAAGTTTCCAATAAGAAGTCTTCCGTGCTCGTGCAATCGTAGCCCTGCATCAGTAGAGGAAGAGGCGGCGCTTTGTCGGCAGAAACAGCTTTACTCAGTTCTGTCTCGTACTGGTTGCAGATTTCCAAGCATTCCAGTATCAGCTCGGCCTGAGAAGAGAAGCGCGGGTCACGAAAAGATATTTTAACGCTCTATGTTGCGAATTACATATACTTTAATAATTCGACTTACAGCCCTCTCACTGTTAACGGTCTTTCTGGAAGGTAACGCCTGTTGCTTCTGCCCTAATACCGCGGTGCTTTCCCCGGTAACCAATTCGTTCTCCTGTTGTTCCCTTTCTTCTTCTGCTTCGTCCTGCAGTACCAAAGGTTCGTCAGTCTTCTCGTACAATCTCACTACTCTATCGGAACCGCATGACGCGACGAAGACCCCGTTCGGCGAAACGCAACAGTTCCAACTTTCTCCAGCGTGGCCCTGCAAAGATCGCGAATGCAATGTCGATTGACAGTCATCTATACGTAACTAAGTCACCGACAAAGTATTTAATGAAATACGGTACTGGTAGCGTGGTGATTTTTTGAAATATATCAGCGTCCCATTGCTTGATCCTGCCGTCTTTACCGGCGGAAAAGAAATAGTGAGTTCCAGGCACGAAGGAGAGACCTGTGACGGAGTCGTCGTGCGCGAATATAGACTTGTGGCAATCGCCGAAGTCCAGACCCCAGATCTTAATGTTGCGATCAGCAGACCCGGTTGCTATGAGCGTGGAGTCGCTGGATATATCTATGCACAGTGCTGGTAGCTTGTGTCCGTAAAGCGACACAAAGAACTATAATAAAAAAGTATATATATATGTAAAACAAAAAGATAACACTTGACGTGGATTTATGTGCCTCAAAATAATTGCGATACCTTAAACGTGTCCAGGAAGAAGATTTTAACGGTCGAGTCCAATAGAGAAACCGCCACAAATCTATTATTCGGACTTATTCGTACGCACAGTACGCTTTCCTCAAGCTTGAGCGTTCTCATGTGCAAGACGGAAAGAACTTTCGCTTTTATCTGACTGTCAGGATCTTGAATAAGTTCAAAATTCCAAAATTTCACCGTCCGATCACCACCGCCGCTGGCAACTCCTTTCTGTTTGCAAATAAATCTATTAACTTTAGCTTTAACTTAACGGCGGCTGTTAAAATCTTTTTAACGGGAAGATATTACCAGATCGGGAAATAACGTCACGCTCCAGAGCTCCTTGGAATGTGCCGGCACTTCTTCCAGGATATCGCCAGATACGATGTCGATAATGAGCATTTTCCCGTCTTTCAAACCGACAATCAGATGTCTGTCGCCCGGCACGAATGTCACCGTCAAGGCATAGCCGCACTGCACCGTGCGTAAACACGACAACGTCGGTCTAAAAATCGTCAGGTTCATTAACAAATCTATGCATTCATTGAAAAAACACATATCTCACAAAGTACCCTTACCTATTCCATAATTTGACAGAATCTCCGCTGACACTAGCAAACGCCAAATTGTCGGAGCTAAAACAGACAGCTCGAACGTCTGTACGATGCCCATGTGCCGTTATTGAACGCAAACGCTTCACTTCGAGATCCTTCTCTTCCATGTACAAAGAATGTAATTCGACCGAATTGTTATTCACTCCGACACATAACTGCGCAAAGCGGACAGAATAAAATATTAGCGCGAGACCTCGGACGATTTTAGATGGGTCTTATGCTGTATACTGACTCGAAGTTCGCTGCCTTTGCCTATAACTAAATCGAGGCCTTTCGCTTTGCCGGTCACTTGAACAACAGGTAAACGTTTTATCTCGTCTTTGAGGGACGGTGCACTTGGTAGCTCCTTTCCTGCGTCATTCCCTTCCCTGTCGACGAGGCAGAGAAATATGCACTTAAATCTCGTTCTCTTTTAAACAAATTGAAAACTTCTTTTGAAACTCACTTCTGAGCCTTTCGCCTTTCTTTCTTCAACCTTTTCGCAAATCTATCCTTGACCGTATCTTCAGGTACTAGATAAAACAGCTCTATGGAATTTCCTACTCCGTAGCACCCAAGAACTTTACACGTGGAGTCAACTTCTAGCGAAACAACTCGGCCGCCGGCTGTTCTTAACATGCTTCCAACTTTTTCACATTTTATAGGATATTTCTGAAAACGAAATACACGTTTATAATTACGTTAATTTTAAAAAATAATTATCTAAAGACAAATCGTATCGCGAACTCGGTGCAACGTGTGTACAAATGCGTACCATATCTGTATCCACGCTTTCCTCACTTTCTTCATTGATATCTGTACCAACAGCGGTGTCCAATTCAATATTCTTGCCTTCAAGGAAGGTTATTTTCCAAACGCGCAATTCCGCATCGTTGCATCCCGTTATTAGATACCGGTCGTCGCTCATCAGGGCAAGACTCCAAACCTATCGATATTGAATCAAAACTATGAATTTCCTATGAATGACTGTCTTATGCTCTTAAGACAGCCTTAAGACAATGTTTTATGTTTTAAGCCTTTGTCTTGAGGTAACGCACAAGAACTGTCTTACGTCTGAAGAGTACAAGACAGCCATTCTGCTCAGGCCCTTACTTTAGGACAAAGATTTTAAAACGCAAAACATTGTCCCAAGAGTACAAGACATTCATTCTGCCCTTAATTATTCACCGGCGACAACAAGTCTTTATTCTCGTTGTCAATACTATGATCATCCGAAATATAAAATGGCGAACAGAAACGTAATAAAGCAGCTCACTTCCGACTTGTGTCCGACAAGGGTTTTGAAGTTGTGCTCCGTGTCCAGATCCCAAAACTTGACAAGCGTATCCTTGCTGGCGCTAATAATAATGTTGTGTTCCTTCATGAATACCAGCTTGGTTACGACACCCTTGTGCCCGCTTAAGCGGCATATACCAGCTTCCGCCACAACGTCCCAGACTATGATATCCGTGTCCTGTTGTAGAAAAGAAAGCAATTTACAAGTGCAATCCCGCCGCGTTTGTAAAAGAGTCTCACCTGGGAACCGGTGGCTAATCTGTGTCCCAACGCGTCATACGCCAAGGTTGTTATTTCAGACTTGTGTCCCACGAACACGCTGACGTTCTCGCCGGCGACCAGATCGAAGGTCTTCGCCGTGCCGTCCGCGTAACCGACCGCGATGTGCCTTTTGTCGGGCGACGCGGCCAGGCGTGTCACGCACACCTTTTCTCCAGACAACACTCGTGCCTGAAATTATCATCACATTCGTCAGGTATCGTTCACATGTCTGTCAACGGTGCTTTCCAGCAACGTACGCAGGCGGACACTGTGTAACACAGTGAATCGTTTCATCTATTTTGCTTGCCGTTGTTAAACGAGAATAAAATGATTCTCTGTGTCAAGCCTAATCTACAATGTGCTCTCTGCGTCTAGAAACATTCTACTTTGTAGCCAATAAATACATTTAACAACTTTGTGCAAGTTGATAGATAAATTGTATATTATACACTGTATAATCGTACACCGTCGACGATTTTTCTAAGCGTTTCGATTTGTTTATATAAAATAGAATGTTTCTAGACGCAGAAAGCACGTTGTAGATTAGGCCCGGTCTACAATGAGTCGTTAGTCATTAGTCAGAAGTCGCAACTATACGTTGATCCTTTTCCTTTCTGGGTAGAAGAAAAAGGACCGACATATAGTTCCGACTTCTGACTAACGACTAACAACTCATTGTAGACCGGGCCTTAGGCTCTACGCTATGTCAATCCGTGTCTCTTGCTGGAAAGCACCCCAAGTCCACGCATTCCTGCGTCCTTTCAATTCACCTTCTCTCCGAGTCGCAGGTCCCAGATGTATACATGCTCGCACGCGGCGGCAGCTACGAATCTGCCCTCCTGGCCGTCCAGCTTTACGAAGACTACGTTGCATCGCGGGCTCGCGATTATGTTCGCGTTACCCGCCGGCACGTACCTCAGATACTGCTTGGTCAAGCCCATTTCGTTGGCAGTTTGTCCGCAGTCTGGAGAAAATAGGCAAGGTATACTTGACGTGTAACACGAACTTACGACAGCGAAACCTGCTATGTACCGTTAATAACCGGCACGGATTAACATCGTCTACCAATCAGTGCGATAATTAAAATTAAATAGCATATACGATCGTGAACCCCGCGTTGCAAACGCGCTGAAACGCACGTGTAAACGGTGCACCGCGCCTGCGTGTCACGAAGTACTGGAAAGCGCCTAGATCCTCCGTCGAGTGAGAATTTCGATCCCGTCTGCCATTTTCAGGCCAACTATGGCGCGCTTTTCGAAAACGTTCGAGTCAGTTTGGCATCCACGCGGCTTGTCGGCACAAAAATGAATGTAATTCAACGATGCATGCATACAAACATTCTTATTGCAACAAGGAATAAATAGAAACAATAGGAACAGAGTCCCTTGAAAAATCTGAACAAACAAACGTAAAATAAAATGCATTAACACACGATGTGTGAGAAATCCGAAAGAGAAACGTATACGAAATTCCTGCTTGCGGAAAAGTTGAGAATCTGTTGGTTAAAAATCATGCAAATGGCCAATCGGCTTCCAACTTTTCCGTAAGAGCAGAATTTGCGCATACGTTTATCATGCGAATGAATTCAAGAATCGAGCTTCAGAGTTTATCCTTCTCCTTCTAATGTAGTGGGGAAAAGATGAAGGGTCTAGGCTTTACAACTAAACTGGCTGCACAAGTTCCGTGTTTATCTTTCACCTTTCAACGCGGAGAGAAAAAGATGATCTCTGGTGCTCGATTCTTGAATTCACTCGAAAGAAAAACGTATACGAAAATTGTGTTCCTACAGAAAACTTGTGAGTCGATTGGCTATTCGCATGGCTTTT